GGATGGATTAAGTCATCATCGTGAAGGACTTAGTGAATGAAGTCAGAAGCCTATAAGGAAAGGCCTACTGTTGCAACTGACAAAGCAATCACAAACAAATAGAAAGCGCTTGCAAATTTGGTTTTCGCGCTTAGACGCATGTGCCAAAGCTTGCAGACCATCATTGCGACTGTAGATCAACACAATATGTTTCTTGTGTCTCGACAACTGAAACTGTTGCTTTTGATTTCCTTGAGAGTAGATTATCTAATGCAATAGCTGGCTAGAAAACTCAAATAAGAAGATGGTATGTATTTGTGAAAACACTGTTGTCCCTTGTTTTGAAAAGACGAGAGAGGAATAATGAGAGAGATGAAGATTGGTTATGTTACTATTCCATACTCCATCTTTAGTCAAAGCATTAAGGATAGTTGGTCTGTCTCTTCTTGCTCTCTTGTTCGTACAAGAAATGCAAAATCGTTGACACCCTCATTTGGGAGGACGGCTAAATTTGGTCAAGATAGGAATAGGTGCAGTGAGATAGAGTATGCCACTATTCCATAGTCCAACTGTAGTCAAAGTATTAAGGATAGTTGGTCTGTCTCTTCTTTTACTCATGTGCCTACAAAAAATGGAAAATCGTTGACACCCTTTTTGGGGGCTGGTACCAAGTGGGACAGTAAAAATGAGGCGAGATAAGGATTGGTAAAGCGAGATAGCGATAGGTGCAGCGAATTTGAGTATGCCACTATTCCATAGTCCAACTGTAGTGAAAGTATTAAGGATAGTTAGTTTGTCTCTTCTTACTCTTTTGTTCGTATAAGAAATGCAAAATCGTTGACACCCTCATTTGGGAGGACGGCTAAATTTGGGTAAGATAGGAATAGGTGCAGTGAGATAGAGTATGTTACTATTCCATAGTCCAACTGTAGTCAAAGTATTAAGGATAGTCAGTCTGTCTCTTCTTCGATTCCCGTGCCTACAAAAAATGCTAAATCACAGATGGGGTATATAGAAGGATTGGTAAGAGTAAGAGGTATGTACCACAAATCCATGCTCACAAGATACTGTGTTGCTTTTGCTCGAGTTACACTTTTCTTACTCAAAAGTTCTAGTTCTGTGTGCTTCCTGTCTGTCTTGTCACTTTATGCCTTATCTTCCTCTTTCTATGTCAGCCGAGTACCACTCTAGACTACTGAGTGGGTCACCGTCAGTAATGAGTGTCATCCATCGCTTCATGGAGTCAGAAGAGTCCAGTTGTGTCCATATTGCTCTCTGGATCACCTCCCAGTTCTCTCAGGGAGGTCAGCACTAACTCCCCTCAATTACCATGCCACTCTGTTCTATAGATTCACTCCATTTGATGCACACTTCCTTATAGTGTACATGTAGTTGACTTGTTTGCTTTGCCTTGCCTTTCTACCTCGTTGACACATACATAGCTTTTGATTCTACATAAGTGAGAGGAGTGACTAAAGAATATATAGCACAGGAAGGAATTATATTTCCCCTGTTGCACTATGATTAGCCTTGTGAATGGCTTATACAGCAGTTGAGGGAACAGTCCCTAAATAAAGCACGCAGAAATAGATTATTGCCCTCACGTATGGAACGTGGTCTCATCTGAGACATCCTGCCATATGTTATTATACCCCTTCTATGTACATGTGCTGAAATATACCTCTTACATATTGTAGCTGTCTAATGTATCTCATTTGAGACACCCTGCCATATATATTATACCCCTTCTATGTACATAATAGTGCTGTCTAATGTATTGCAGACATGGGGACGAGGTCTCAGTTGAGACACCCTGCCATATATAATATTCTACCCCTTCTATGTGCATATGCTGTCTAATGTATTGCAGACATGGGGACGAGGTCTCAGTACTGAGACATCCTGCCATATATAATATTCTACCCCTTCTATGTACATATGCTGTCTAATGTATTGCAGACATGGGGACGAGGTCTCAGTTGAGACAGCCTGCACTGCTGGACAGAGTGAAGCAGCTGCGATCATCTCAGAGAAGCTCAGAGGACATCAGACAACTGGCTGAGTCAACTCTCGGTCATATCACGGTCAGTCACAGAACGGGCGAAACTCCGGCAAGGTCTCTTTCTTACTAAATAGCCTTATATCCTCACGCATGTAACAAACCAAGCATAGTACCCAGGCTCTTCATCTTCAGGGACAGGACTGAGGGAGAAGCATGATTTTCTAACTTTTTGGCTTTCTGAAGCTTATCTACTGCACTGCCAGAAGCTAACGTTTCATGTATTACGCCTTTGTGAGATCGCCCCACCCACAAAAGGTTAACGGGAATGTGGCAGTATAATATAAGGGCTAAATTTAGAATTGTTACTAAAACCGGAACTTAATTGTATTCTTTCACTGTGCCCCATTGTTTTGTTCTATTTTTAGTAACACCTTATATACCAACACATTCCCCTTTAAGACAATATTGAACCTCAAACCTTGAGATCTCCCCCTGCTATACTACTAGAACGAATTCATCACATTTTTGGCGAGTGAAGCGAGCAGTTCAATTTTGCATATTTTAGAATCAAAAAACATTACAGTAGGCAGTGCTTGTTGTGCCCGTCCCATATAGAGAAATCCTTAATTCACACAACTAGCTACAGAGGCTCACTTAGCTTTCAAATCATTCCTGGCTGTTTTATATCTCCCACCAACTTTCCTACCTGCACAGGCTGGTCAGACTGAACCAAGCTCATGATATTTATAAAAACCACCTAAACTCTGACACTCTGATTCATCACAAGACTTGATCTCTAGAAATTCATCTTTTATGTCTCTTTAAAATTTTAGCTACAGGTATGAATATTTGTGTGGCTAAATTTTGTAGCCAATTTGTGTGTTTAATAAGATTCTCCTGTTCAGTTGCTGAATTTTAACTTCATTTTTAACCCTCTGCGCGCATGCGCAGCAAGGGTTATAGCACACCAAGGGTTTGCACTTTAGACCATTTCTCTAGAAGTTAAACGTTGCATGAAATAATACCACGCGAGTTCAGCTAAACCTCGTGTGATTATAGCAATCTTCGCACGTCTTTAGCTAATCAGCGCATGTAGCTAAATAGCGGATGACTTTAGCATACATCGTTAAAAGGCATTACTACAGCTAAAAACCCATGCATTTAGCATTGGTCGTCGACGTTAGCTAAAGTAACGCGCATGCAAATTCTGCGGCGTCTATAGCTCTGAAAGTCATGCAGCTTTTGTTAAGTGAGGGTATAATAATAATAATTACTAGTAGGTGGATGCACTGCATTTTTGGCGAGCGGGAGCGATCCAATGATTGTGTGCATGCGCTGTGTAGTAACTGTAGTCGACCCTCTCTCTCCTCGGCAGACTCGGCGGAAATTCGCCTTGTCTGATAGCTTCGGATCTGTTGGAGCCTTGCCTGTTGCGTTTCCTCTGATTCCGCAGCACGTGTAGCTCTTGCTCGTACACGACTTCTCGCTAGTCGTGCTTCCCTTTCTTCCGCTGTTTCCGTGGCCAGGCGTTGCCTTGCCCGTTCCCTATCACGCAGTCGCCGTCGAGAAATACGAGCCTCTCTTTGCTCAGAAGTCTCACTGGCACGACGTTCTCTTTCCCTTTCTCGTCGACGACGAAGGGCATCTTCTCTAGACCGATCCATCGCAGAAATGGTTGGCTTCCTCGAGTTATTATACACGAGAAATATACGGTGTAAAAATTTGAAATGCTTTTCGGATAAAAAGAAGCGCGTGGTACGATCGTAAAAGCCAGCTAGCTCGCTCGCTCCGCCCCCCGGCCCGGCGCGGCTCGCTCTCTCCCGGCGGCCCGCTCGCCAATTATTGGGCAACGCGGGCTCAATCTCATCGTCGTGTAGATAGGTGCGCATGCGCGGCTTTGTACGCGCTTCTTTTTATCCGAAACTATTTCCAAATGTCTTTTACACATTTTCACACACAGTGCCTCGCGATATGCGCCGATCGATCTAGCCAGCGATAGAACTCTCAGTCTCCTCCATTCGACGGCATGCGCTGCAACCTTCGGTTACTAACCGAGGCTGTATATACCTCTTCACAATCTTCATGGTTCCAGCAACTTGCAAATACGCTAGGATTGCTCGTGCACATACTGCTGCACTTGCCAGCTGCCTGGTGACTGTCGAGCTGAAAGCGTAAGGTAAGTACCGTTCCGCCAATGTACAATACGCATGTAACAACGACAGGTTGATCTGTCTTGCTTCACGAAAGGAAAGCTGTGCGCTGACGGCACGTTATGCAGCCCGAACATCGCGGGCAAATCCAAGTTGGGTCGCTCCCGCTCGCCAACAATGTTCAACATTTCCACTAGTTATTATACAAAAGTACTCAGATAGATACAACAATGAAGAATGGATACTTGTATATACAGATATATCATGTATAAAACTCATGGATAGGGAACAATAATCACATTATGAGAAGCTCGTGCAATGACCAGTTTTTCGTCAACAACAGCTACAGACGGCCCACTACTGCTTTCCCCATTCGGTGGTGTGCTCTTCACAAGCTCCCAATAATCAGCTTCTGCATCATAGCGGTAGATATGGCATTCGTAATCTATAGTTTCTTCATCAATACTTGCTTCAAGGTTGCTATCATAACCAAATACTTGCTTTTGTGTATTTCGCTCCACTCCATAGGATTTATATGCAATATAGAGTAGTGCCCTCAAATGCTCATTAGGGATTGACTGGATGTGTTGGCACCCAACTGCAACTAGTTCATTATTGACTGACGATAGAGTAAAACAACAGGCACCATAATATAAATAGGCTGCTTCTTCTTCGTGGCGAATATCTCCATTAACAACCTCTGGTTTGAGATTCAAATAAACTGAATGGTGTGGATGTTGTAGTCTTTGCCAGAGTATAATTGTTTCAAATTTGCTTTCAGCAACATCATTCTCATAATTGCCTTCTTTTGAAATCCGTAACAGAGTGTCAACAGAACAACGATAAAAGGAATAGCATGGATAAGGTCCGCCAATATCTTCCTCATACTTCTCGACAACATCAGCATATTCATCATAACCGTCTTCGTGTCTCCTCCAATCGTCATTAACAATTTTTCCTACTGTAGCTTCGAACTTAGGATCATTGTGTTTGGCTGTAATGTAAAGGTCTTTCCCGCAAATGCATGCAGACAGCCATTTCATGGTGCTAAATTCTTGAGGTAGGTTTATTTTATCATTAAAATACCAGCACTTCTCCTCGACATTCAATATTTCCATGGATATCATAGCCTTCCGTGAAATCTTTCTACTTACTTCATTTTGTATATGCATAAAGCCACCAATTACAATTAAAAACTTTTCATAAACCAAAACATTTGGATAAACTCGCTTTTCGTTCATTTTTGGATATTTATCTTCCCATACCTGCTTTTGGGCTTTACTTTTTCCAGATCGTGTGTTCTTTCCCTTCCTTTCTCTTGTGCTGCTATTTTCAAGTGGGAAGCACAGAACTTTATTCGTAGGAGATTTATCTGATTTAACACGGCCACCAACTGCAACTAATTCATTTCCCATTATAGAAAATCCGTAATCAATATGAGGACATTCAATAGATCTGGTCCAGTTTCTTGATCCTGTATCAAACTCATAAATAATGCCACCAGATTGAAAATATACAACATTATTATATGTTGCTGCATAGCCAGATATTTCTGTAGGGCATGCTGGACTCCTGCTAATACCTGGCTCATCGAGCAAGAATTTCTTTGATTGACTACCATCTTGTGATGTAGCTTTACGTTTCCTTCCTGCATTAGAAAAAACAGATACATAAAGATACATTACAATTAAACTTTTTACTGACCTTTTATAAACCATTCACTAAGCTTTTCTGCCGTAGACTCTTTACTAACAGTCGGACTTTTTAGTGCATCATAGACAGTTTTCCAGTTGCAGCAATGCCCCACTTGTAACCACTGCTTTATCATCTTTGTAAACATTTCATCTATATCATCTTTAGATTCGCTTTTAATGACATCCAACTGGGAAGGTGGTATCTCGAAATACAAACCGATGTAATACCACTTTTCTCTGGCTTCCCACATTTGTTCCATGACAGTTAAAAGATCACGATCAACCAAAAGCCTCTCAGCCTGTGGGTATAAAACAGCAACTTAGTCTAACTTTGCCTTTTCACAAAATCTGAAATACTTACCATTGCTGAGCTTCCTTGGCAACAACTAAACCACACTGCAGAACAGTGTAGTTTTAGCTACATAGCAAATCTTCCTGCTGAGCTGACCACACATGTACAGTCATCTATTCATAAGGTGATAGGTCCAATAAGCATGCAGCTGTGCAGTGTGGAGGAGTCACAATCCGAGGCAATAAAACCTTGACACCTCATTTAGAACTTTGACACCCAATGTAATGTGCCTATGATTTTGAGTTGAGGAGGTGTGTGTGGTTACGTACGTCATGGGGGGGCTATTCATAGGTGAGGTCACTGATAAGGTGCACATTTATTGTTGGGCTGTGACAAATGCAAAATTAAAGACTGTCTTTTTAAGTGATTTGCTGCGTGTATAATTTTTGTGGAATACGACATGACTGAAAGCTGAATGTTTGGGATATGTTGTTGGGCTACGAGAAATTATTAAAGACCGTCTTTTTAAGAGATGTGCTGGGTATAAGTGGAATACAACGTGACTAAAAGCTGAACGTTTGGGGTATACAAAGCACTTAGGCAAAAGTAACAACATGCACAGTTTTAGAGTTACGCACTACGACTAGTTTGTTATCAATGACGGCTACAGAAGGTTGCTTGTCACTTGTTCCATTGCGAGGGGTGCTTTTTACACGCTTCCAAGAATCTTCAGTATTGTAAACGTAGATGTGGCATTTTTCATCTATTGTTTCATAGTCAACATACACTTGTGTATTGGCATCCCCTCCACCAATGAAAGGTTGAAATAGTTCTTCTTGAACCTCTCTATAGGATCGATATGCGTCAAAAAGTGTGTCATTCAGATTTTCGTGGGAAATTGACTCCACGTGTTTGCACCCAACAGCAATAAGACTATCATTGATGCAACAAAGTGTAAAGCGACAGACTCCGTAGCAGTTGTAATCAGTTCGCAAATCGTCCAATTCTTCTTGTGGGTCAGCTTCTTCTGGAAATTGCAGACTATTAAATATGTGATCATTGTGTTCGCTTAATTGTTCGTCGCCATTTTCATAAACCGAAGGATGAGGGTGTTCTATTCTCTGCCAAAGGTTCTTTTTACTTTCACTCTTTGCCTCCTCTGCAGCTTCTATTAAAACCCCCACAGGGCAGCGAAAGAGGGAATAGCATGGGTATGGCTCAGGATCAAGATGGTAAAAGTGCCTCTCTTCATCTGTATGCTCCATATTGATATCATCTTCATTATCAACAAACTTTGACATTGTGTTATAAAAATCGGGATCAACGTGCCTTGCGGCAACATAAATATCTTTGTCACAAATGCATGCAGACAACCACTTCATATATTTAAGCTCTTCTGGTAGGCTAATGTTATCATTGGTATACCAGCATCGCTTTTCACGATTCAAAACTTCTACAGAGCGTGTTGCAGGTCCTTCTTTGTCAACGCTCCCACCTAATGCAATCAGATATTTTCCAGCAACAACAACTTGTGGATTAGCTCGAGGGGTGCTCATGGGGGGAAATTTTTCTTCCCATGTCTTCTTTTCAAGCGAGAAACATGCAACTTTATTTGTAGGAACTCCCGATGTGTCCAACCCCCCAACCAAGAACAGTTCATTTTCTACTGCAGCAAGTCCAGCCGACTCCTGGGGGCATTCAAATTCACTCCAATACTTTCGATGTCAAATCAAATTCATGGACTTTAAAACCACTTGCAAAATAGGCACAATCTTTCGTTGCAGCTGTAGCCCCATAGATGACTGAGGGACATTCTGGACCATTTCTAACAGTAATTGTTGCACTATCCTGTGACCCTGCATTAGAAAAATCGATACATAAAAATACATAATTGGATTATTTGCTGACCTTTTATCAACCAATTCAGGATCTTGTCTGCAGTAGACACTTTCCCAACAATTGGACTTTTTAGCGCATCATAGACCGTTTTCCAGTTGCAACAGTCCCCCGCTTGTAACCACTGCTTTATCATCTCTGTGAACATTTCATCTATCTTTTTAGCGTCACTTTTAATGACATCCAGCTGGGAATGCGGCATCTTGAAATTCAAACCGATGTTATACCACTTTTCTCTGGCTTCCCACATTTGTTCCATGACAGTTGAAAGATCACGATCATCTAAAAGCATCTCAGCCTGTGGGTAAAACAGCAACTTAATTTAGAGCAAGAGTCTACTCATAGCATCCAGGTTACTAACCATTTCTTTGGGTAGAGCTTCCTCGGTATCTGATGGCTGCTTTGGGCTTGCCATGATACAAACTAGAAGACACTCGAAGTGTTTTGCTTAAACTGTCAGTTGCTTTTTTAGCTGTAACCAAGGTGTGTGAGTGCATTCATAAAGTGTTACACCTTTCGTGACGTATGATGTGTCTGTCAAGATATGAAGTAGAGGGCGTGACAGTTGCTCAGTAGAGTAGGGAACAGTATTCACGAGTCTAACTCACACAACATAAATAGTTGAAGGTGGGGTCCTCCTTTGACCTCAGGTAAGTGCACAGGCAACCACTCTGTGTGTGACACTTCACTTGTTATGTGCACATGCAAGTAATTACCCTCGGCGCGCATGCGCAGCGAGGGTACTGTAGTTGGGTTTGTCTGTCTGTCTGTGTGTCTGTTACTCTCAATCTCACTTCTCGGGTGTCTGTTCGTCCCAGAAACCATACCATCTACCCAACGGGCGACGAGGGTCAGAATATATGTGGGTTTTTTTTCTGAAAATGATCCGTTGCAGAGCTAGAGCGCTTCCAGCATTGTATGGCTAATGCCGGTAGTCGCCATTTTATCGCTGGCGGATAATGGCAATGCGCATGCGCTTATATTTAGCTCGACCGGGTCCGCTTGCTCTGTCTATCTTGAAGGCACAAGAAGTCACAACGAATGGCGTGTATCGACTCTCGCGTGCTATCTACTACTGTAGCTAGCCCGTGTCAGACTCTCTGCGAGCTACTTCGCCGAGGGTTTGCACTTTAATTTACACTGGTCCCATTCAAGTAATGGTGGGGTCTGATGGATAAGTACCCCTCTCTTGATCGTGAGGTCCTGGTTCGATCCCGGGGGGTGTGCGCCTTTTTTACAATGATGTAATAGGAGTGTTGGCTGTTGGTATAACTGGAACGTTTTTCATCACTTCTCAAGGCCAGCCAGAGTGGCTAGGTGGTTAGAGTCGTGGGGACTGACACCATAGGTGCCCGGTTCGAATCCCGATCCCGCACTAAAGTGTCAGGTGGTCCAGAGCATTGGCTGGGAACAGCTCTGGTTCCTCCCCTTACCCACAAAATCGACCACTGACCCACGTTTCTCAAAGGGCAGCGTATAGTTCGGCATTGCACTACGTCCGTAGACGTCTGTCTGGAGAGATGAAGGGCTGGCCGTTTTAATCATTTTTCTTCAACCTTAGGTTTTTTTTTGTACTAAACAATCCACAGGTAATACGAAAATTAATAGAGAAATGAAAGGTTGGTAATTTTTCAACCTTACAACAGAATGGGGCTGCCTATTTTTTGACCATGGAAATATTATAACATGCTGTTCTTTTTTATGCATGGTCAAGACCATCAATTGTGGTGGTGCCACACTTGTGTATGGGTTCCACATTTCTATATAGTGTGCCGAGGGTTTGCACTTTAGTGCTTTTCATTTTGTTGTGAGTACAGTATTACAGTATCTCTGACTCAGGACTACTGAGTATTATAGCTACAGTTTTTTATAAGAGAAGTTCACTATACCATTATCTGAGCCTATTTGTTTTGGCTAAGCCCTCCTATTCCTGATAGGGTTGATCTATTTGTGTATGTTGGTTTTTACCCCACATTAATCAAATAACAAACAACATATACACGAACAGGCTGATATTGCAGGACTATGGTAGCTGAAACTCACCTCCATGGCCTGTGAGTGGTTCCAGAGTTCTCAGACCACACATGCGCATACAGTCCATACTCCATAGCATTGGCACGATGTATTGCGCATAAATGGAGCACAGGGAGGGTAAGCCTCGGCCATACATTAGCTCTATACACCTCCCTCGTTATTGTGTGAGCGGAAATGAGGATTGCTCTTTATTGAAATGTAATTGTAATGACACGTATCACGTATTCTGAAATTTATGAAGTATCCCTCATATATACTCATGCATGATAGCTACAAGAAAAAAGAGCAACCCAAATCCTTTCAATATAATGTCCTTCCTCCGGGTTTGGGTGATGATCAACAAATGAAATAGCTTTTTCGTAGACACTTCGTGCTCTAGAGAGAATTCTTGCTCGAGTAACAGAAAATATAGCATTGTAATTGACAACATTCCCTTTAGGATGGGGAGCACCAAATATAACTTTCCAAAATTCTCCTAATGTCAAGTTAGCTCTTGCCATTTGTCCATTTTTCTCCATCTCCTTCCACTTGCCAATGTGTTTTAGGTCATCCCATCTATCATATTCAGCTATTAAATTTGGTCCATAGAATCCATTCTCTTTTGCTCTTTTCAGAAAAGTCTTAAGGTCGTTATCACCTTTCCAGTGTATATGACTTTTCACTTCTCCTTGCACAAAAAGTGTAACGTTGGCAAGACAATGGTAGTTGGTAATGATGTGATAGATATATGTGTGGCCTTCGTGACCAACATTGGGTAGTGTATCCCATTGCTTGAATTCCACTGGTGATTTCCAATTGTTACCACCTTTGTGATAGACATGGCAGTGATCAGCGTATGGGGCCAACCAACGAAGATCCTCATTGTAGTGAGCCACAACTATCTCGTAATCTTTATGATGACACACACGTCTGTCAGACGCTTTCATTGAGTTGACAAGACTTGCGTTGGGATAAGTCTCTTCAGGAGTTCGGAACATTATGTAGTCTGCAACTTCTACTCCCTGCATGAGGGAATGGTCTTGATTACTAACTTCGTATCTCCATCCTCCGAATCGACCTCTTGAGAAGATGGACCTGGATTCTAGCCATGGCTGAATTAGACTCAAATACTGTTCACGTTCCAGGAATGGTACTGGATATCCATGCTCTAAACGTCGGTGGTAGGTGGACAACACTTGACTGCTAGCAATGAATCCATAACTGACTAGTGCATCTATGGTGTGTTTGACGAGAGATTTTTCTTCCCATTTTGATGAATCCTCAGCATGTTTGGGTTCTGCTGCCTCACACATTAATGACCATACTTTACCAGGAGATGGAACGTTGTCGTCAGCATAATTGGAAAAGACAGTAATACGGTAAAATGGACTGTCTGAATCGGGAAAGTAGATCCATGACTTGTCTGCCAGGAATGGGGGAGGTTGTCCTTCGAGTCCAATTCCAATGACATGAGTGTGGGAGTAGACGAATTTCTGTGATTTTTCTCTCAACTGTCTTAATTTAGGATCGTTGTCCTCAACCATGCTGAGCAAGTAGTCAAGAGGTGCAGTGGATATCAAGTACTCGTATTTCAAAGAGTAGGCCAGGCCATTTGTTGTGACAATGTCCAAAACCTTCTTCTCTGAATTGACCGTTGTGACCACATGGCCAAAACGAAACCATCCTTGAGGTATAAGTTCAGAAACACTTTTCCAAATTTGTCCGGTTCCTCCATGCGCCGGAAATTCAAACATTTGATTAGGTCCCCAGTTGGAGTCCTTTGCATTTGTGTGATTACGATTCCATTGGGCAATCTTGGATTTGATGACATCGACATTTGGAACAGCAACACGTTCTCCTACCCAATCAGAGTTCATTTCTCTTGGATCGACTGTCCACACCTTGCGATTGTATTTTCTCATAAACACCTCGCTTAATCCTTCCCCAAAGTTCTTAACTAGCCACTCGTCAAAGTTGTGGGGTTTGGATGAAGATGGATGAGCACTGATTTCTTCCAACCCTCTCAGACTTCTCTGCTGCTCTTCCTTGTCCATGACATGAATATTATGCTGCACAGGATAGGGAATAAATTTCCTCCTTCCACTTGATCCCATCATGTAAGCATAAGATGCACGAGATCGCTTGTTCCAATCTCTGACTCCTTTCTTTAAAACTCTACTGAAGTAATCGTAGTGAGAGAACACCACATGGCCACCATTATCCCACAAGAAGCCTTTATCGTCTCGATAAGAGCTAGCCAGTCCTCCAGCTTGTTGCTCCATTTCCAAAACAATGACTTCTCTATTGTGTTCAAAGAACCTATAGGCCGCTCCAAGTCCTGTTGGACCAGCTCCAATGATCACTATACGTTGGCAATTCGTTTCCGATAGAGCTGCAGCTAATAAGGAGTCATCTGTATAGCATACAAAATATGTGTCTAAAAGTTTTAAAAAACAGAGAGAAGAATTCCATTGTCACCAGCAGGTATAGTGACCAACAGCAACAAAGATAGAGAGCAAGTGATGAAAAAATGCAATAGTAGGACTTGCAAGGGAGGGGAAGCTTCCCAGATAGCACAGCTTCACCCCACAGGGTTTACATCATACTAGGCCTTCTAGCAATAGTTTACGGGCCCATTTCTATATAACTATATAACTATACTATAGAGACATGCCCAAAGACTTCATACGTGCCTTCAGTTGAAGTGGGGTTAAAGCAGACGTCGAGCGCGCGCATCGGTTAGTCGGGGATTGGAACGCCCAAAGACGAGAGGCCCGCCCTCTCAGGAGGCCGCGCGTGCACAAGATCAACACTGGACCGGTGCAGCAAAGGCCAACCGCGCCGGCACGGTGGTTGCTCTTATAGAGGAGGCCTGCGGTCATAAAAAGCGTGCGAAGTTCCAACCTAGTCAGCAAGTGTAGCTATGGCATCGTCCGGTCGCGGTTCTCCGCAGGAGCATTTGGACAAGATTATCGTTTCCGCCCTCCCTTACCCTCTCTTGTGCTCTCTCCGCCGGGGTTGATCCCCGACATGATATGTCGGGAGTAGGTAGTTAAAATTACTACGGGCATGGGAGATTGGACCTCCAAGCACTAATAGGGTACAAATAACAGTCGGCAGCCTAGTCCTTGGGGGTGGGCCTATGACACGACAAGGAGGCCCGGCATCTTTCGTAGGCGCGCATGCGCATGAAAATATACTTGCCCGGGCGCGTATATACACATCCATCTACACATTGTGGGGCGGAACCCAGAAGGAGTGTATATACCTGGCAAAGCTACGTGGGAGACTCCCCGTGTTAAGCGATAATTTGACGGAGGTGTGCACGACTGCACGGCTACCAAGACCAGAAACTGAGAGTCTTGCGGTCGCGTGCAACATAACTGTGAAATATATTCATTGACCACTATTTTTAGAAAAACATAAACAGCAAACATAAACAGTGAAGTTGGGGAAACATGGGGTCACTACACACAACAGTAATTCAAGCACTCATTTTACTTGCAGATTTATGTTGAAAATTCGAGCAACTGGATGACAAGTGCGTGAGCCTTTCAATTGATGGGCACTTGTTATAGGAATGCGCACGCGCATATTTTGCCTCGCGCCTGCCAGCCAATGCGTAAACAGTCCGACTGAGGCCGCTCGACTGACTGCGCGCGAAGCCAGACTTCCTATGAATCTGCGCGCACAGCGGAAGCTAGACTTCCTACAAATTGCGGAAGTTACACTTCCTTTTGGTGACTAATTGACATTCCTAAGCGTGACAAATTGACGACACGTACGTATGTATGTACACATGTCGCGAGAATACAACCCGGAGTAGTTGCCTCGCGTTAATGCGCTCGGCAATCAACATGCGGTTCACAAATTGGTCACCCCTGTAGTATGGATAGTATTACACAGTCACAAATTGAACCCCGACAAAGTTGACTATGAAACTTTGCTAAATTCTGCATTTGCTGAAATGAACCTTGTTTTCAGAAATATCCATGGCGCGAATCGATGGAAAGGTTATAGTGAAAGTGAAAGTGGTGAAAGAGAGAGGATTTAGTAAATATCCCTTGTTGAACTTCAAAAGAGAGGGGGTTTAGTATATACCCGCATGGTAGACTGAAGGAAACGAAGGGAATGTATACACAGAAAGAGTACAGTGGTACAGTGTAACCTCATTGATATAATTATACCAACACTGTCTAAACTGGAATAAAGGAAATGTAGCAATGCAGGTCAGACTGCGATGTATTTTTGCGAGTGAGCGCGGGAGCACATTAGCTATGTAGCTACGTAGCGGGTAAGAATTCACCCGTGCGTCACTGAACCCGCCATTCGCCAACCTGCTAGCTACTGTTATATTCCAGTTAACTGAATACATACCTTTTTTTACAGTGCTGAATATGCGACTGGATCTGCCCAACCAGAAAAGTATGGGAATCAGTTGGACAATAATCAGAAAATAGAGAAGAGTCTCTCGGTTTACTCTGCTTGCTAACATTGCGTTGACTACGCCGGACACGACACCTTCGCTCCACCGAAGAACGTCACATCGACTAGTCCATAGTTCAGAGGACAGCACGCGACCCCGCCCCCTTATAAAAGGACACGCCCATTTATTACGTAAAATAATAACGCGAGTATAATAATATATAGCCATTTTGCGCCTGCTGCGCGTGCGCATATAATACGTGTTGATGCGCGCTCGAAGCGCGCGCAGCCTATATGGCCAGCCCACGTGTTGACAGGTAACGCAGAGCCTCGCGCGGAGAGCCAAAGCTAGCTTAGTAAACTTACCAAGAAACTGTGACTAAAGGTACGGTTTGAACTATGAATTGGTCACCTTACGCTTGCTAGCTTATAAATTCCGGGACATTATTGCTATTTTGCCTCCACCGGGACACCGCCGGGACAAGGCCCAAACTTCTGGGACTGTCCCGGCCATTCCGGGACGGTTGGCAACTATGATAGTCTTCAGTAGACGGGATAGCTCTCTCTTTATGAAGTGCCGTTTGTAATTTCGAAGATGTTCATAAATAGATCGATGTTTGTCGTGTATTCATTGATGGAGCATGACTCTGGAATTCTTGGACTCCTATCACCAAACCTGTCACACCAAGCCCTCGCTGCGTATGCGCGCGCGCCGAGGGTTATCTTGCGCGCGCGCACCTAAAGGCTAGGCACAGAGATTCTGAGTGAGAGTTTACTGTGCCATAGTACAGTGGTTTGAGGTTTGCCTTGTGTTGTGTTGTGTTGTTGTAGATTCGAACCCCTACCAGCTGAGTTGCCCTGGTAGCTCAGTTCGTAGAGCGCTCGCCTATACTGCAGTGTCGCACCTCTTCTTCTTTTCTCTGAAAAGAAAGAGCTGTCCTGGGTGTAGTTGACTTGTTTGCCTTGCCTTGCCTTTCTATGAAGTGCCGTTTGTCTCAGAACTACCTTTTTTGGATCAAGCCTAAATGTCGCGTGAATTTACGTAATATCGCGAGAGTTTAGCTAAACCTAGCAATCGTCGCAGGACTTTAGGCAAACACCGCATGACTTTAGCTAAACACTGCATGACTTTAGCTAAACACCGCACGACTTTAGCTAATCAGCGCATGACTTTAGGGCTATACGCTGCAGATTTTGCATCCGTTGTCGATTATTAGCTAAATTCGCGTTACTTCATTCGTCTTCGATATTTATGACCAAAGCTAAATGCATGGGTTTTTAGCTGCAGTAATGCCCTTTTAGCTAAATGCAATGATGGATGCTAAAGTCATGCACTATTTTAGCTAAAGTTATGCGGTGTTTAGCTTAAAATCATGCAGAGTTTAGCTAAAGTCATGCGGTGTTTGCCTAAAGTCGTGCGACGATTCTCTCGCGTAAATTCACGCGACGTTTAGGCTTGATCCAAAAAAAGTTGTTCTGAGACAAACGGCACTTCATACCTTTCTACCTCGTTACCAAGTTGTTAATCATGCACAGTGCCCCTGCCATCTTCCGGGAAAGTTGTAAATAATGTTTCATACATGCGAGTATACATACGCTGAAGAAGGACCTCCGAATAAAGTATAACAAGACGCTTGCCACATACTGGGCTGGACTATTACGTTTACTTGCGGTATCCACGCTATATAGTAGCTCGCGGAGAGTCTGACACGGGCTAGTTACAGCAGTAGATGCATGCGGGAGTCGATGGTATCGGAGATGGAGGCCTAAGGCAGACGATGGCACAACATTGAGCCAATCGCCGGCGTGTCGGATCGAAGTTGAGAGGGCAAGGGCTTTGGAGCAAGGGTTAGCGGCAGTGGCCAGTAAGCAAAGTAGGTTTCGTCAATAGCCCGTGAAAGGGAATGTTGGGAGAGAGGGACATCAATGTCCTGGATGGACTCCCAATCTGGTCTACAAGCTGCTCTGGCCAGGGATTGCAGGGAGTAGGGAAGGTGGATTGGGGGCGGGCGGTCCGTCCCAGAATTTTGGCCTCCACGGTGTCGTGATTGGTGGAGGGAGCCGATATACGCTGCCGAGGCATGAACAGAGGCTTGCCGGGGGTTCAGCCCGCCAAGGGAGGAGGGCAGGGAGGCCTTATATAGCCATGACCAGATTTCGCGTATTTGGGATTTACGTAAAACGTTACCGTATGTGGACAGACAGACAGACAGACAGCGTCCAAACTGGCCGTTGGTATAAGTATATACCACTAGGTTGGCTCGCTCCCGCTCGCCAATTATGCGCACGCGTAATCGCATGCGCGAGGGAGGAAGAGAAGGGTCTGGTGCCTTTCCTTGTTTATGATCTATTTTCCTTGATTATAACACTTTACAAAAACTGACTGGTACAAGAAGTGATGGTACACTAGCACGCATAAAAACATACAAAGTATTAGGAATAGAGTTAGTGATGAAGGCTTCCCTCTGTAGCTGTCCGGTGTGCGCGAGCGCAGCACTTCCCGGGATTTACGGGATACCGGGATGCAATACCCAATTTTCCGGTATCCTATTCCCGGAAATTCATGGATTAATCTCGAGTGCGGCCAACTGTGATGAATATCATTATGCGCTATAGTAACGCGCGTGCGCGCACAAGCGTGGACTTCTGCTTTTTTGACGAATGAACCGGGTATATACTTGCAGAGCCTGCGGAGCAAGCCTGCTTGACTCAAAAGCTAGTAGACCCTGCAAAGGGCTTATCTTACAGTGCACGTGTTGACACATATGGCATGCTAAAAACCGTGGTATAATCAGCTATCCGGATCCGGGAGTGGTATTGCATACCAACACCTTTTCCAGCATTCCAGCGTGGCCCCGTGGTTTACCCGTCTTTCCCTCTCTCGCGCATGCGTTTACGCGTATTTTGTGAAAGGTCCGGGTCTGGGCACCAGACTAATTGTGAAGATGAAGATGAGGATGAGCCTCCCCACCCGGTTGTTTCTGCAGTTTTCGTCTAACATAATTCGACGTGCCGCAATCCTTTAGTATGGGCATTGGCCCCCAGTAGGCGATTCTCTACAGGCGCCGCATTTCCAGAGACCGAACTGTCCGTGGCTGAGGAAGGGAAGCAGTTGTGAGCCGTTTGGAGCCGCGAGGCTGGAGCGGGATCGAACACGTATCACGCCGTGTGGCTGCGGCACAATTGCCAGTGCCCGCGCTGCGTGAGCGAGTACAATCAGCTAATGATACAGGCACACGAGCTGGATCCACACGTAAAGATCTCCAAGTGAAACAAACAGGTCTGTGCTGATGAATAGCTATTGTGCAGCTTTGTGTGTATGCGTACGTAGTGCCGATTGTTGTTGGTGTTTAGAAGGGATAATGAAACGTCTCCTGAAAAATCCAATTGTAGAATAGTACCTACAGTATAGGAGGCTTACTAAGGCAGGAGTAGCATTAAAAAAATAACAGCTGTAGCACTAGGCCATTGACCCATAACAATGGTGTTTGTGAGCACTGTGGGCATGTTAGCACGCAACATGAGGTGAGGTGACCTGTTCTTAAAATGTTTGGTCTGTTCCTGAAGATGGGGATGTGACAATAAAGTGGTCTTGTGGTATGCATTGTTGTTTCACGCTCATCAAAAACTGTGATCTGGTGAGGTGTGATTGTGACTTGTACACAGATGAGTGAAGTGAAGGTGACTGAAAATCCAATCAACATATCCTTTGGTTCGACTCTCCTAGAACCACATATGGATGTCGTGCAGTATGAATCTAAGCCGGGACTTGTCCTTCTCCACTGTCTCAGGTACAGCTATATATACGGTCCTAGGACACACCCGAGGACATTGTCTCTAATAAGGGCACCCCCCCCCAAACATTATTGCGTGAAATTTAACCCATACTCTGCTAATATGGACACTTTCTTCTGTGTCTGGATTGGAGTGGTTCAACCGTATTACAGTGCAACCTCTTTTAATCACGACCTTTCCTTCTCTGGTGCTGCTCAAATGTGACACCCCGAGAGGCCAGAAATGAACACCACACCTCCTTAGCTAGCAACTGATCGAACATCCCCAAGTTAAGATTTTGTATCATAAGCACTGAAGTGCAAACCCTCGGCGCACTGTGACACGCACGCGTAAGTAAATGCATTCGCCGTACCACTAATTGATGGGCTGGGTTTAGTTTTAGCTCTCAATCTCACTTCTCGGGTGTTTGTTCGTCTCACAAAGGATACGACCTACTTAACGGGCAGAAAATAAAGGCGGTTTTCTCTGAAAGCGCTCCGTTGCTAAGCTAGAGCGGGAAAAAGCCAATATGCAAATACACAACAGGCATGATCGATTCGATCCGCGTACCTCGGAGGCACCAGAAGATGCAACGCAGGGCGTGTATCGCCTCTCGCATACTATCTAGTAGTGTAGTTAGCCCGCGTCAGACTCTGCGCGAGCTGGCAAGAGACCACGAGTAACAGTAACAGACAGACACACACACGGACAAACCCAACTACTGTAACCCTTGCTGCGCATGCGCGCCGAGGGTTAACCCTCGGCGGTAAACTAGCGAGCTGTAGCATCGCTGTATGCTGGGCCGCGCATCATCGACGGAGCCAGTCTCACCGTAACACAGGGTAGTTGCATTAGCGGTTAGAGCAATAGCTCAGGTGTTTCAGAGGCTCTCATATTTGCTTTATTCAATCTATCTGCTCTTCTGTGTTCCAATGCTCTCGCCAGACGTTTTATAGATGGGAAGGCAAGGCCGCAACCACAAACTGCTCGCCACCTGAAGTATTATGCTACATTGCGAACGTACCTTGCTCAGCATGTTTATCGTTTATCCATAGGGAACAGAGATCAAAACTGACAGGAGGCCGTGGATCGTATATACAACCAATGTGGCGTAGCGCATGCTCCAGCGATATGACGCGTGCGCGATATATAGGAGAGGGCGCGTGCGCGATCGACCGCGCGTTGGCTTTTCGCTTGTTTTCACGCCATATCTCTGGAACGCAGTCGTTTCAGGAAAATCGGCACGTTCATATCCATCTCCTCGTTGTTCACAACCCGTTGGTGCCACTCATTGCCCGCCTCATAGCCTGTAGTGCTGGAACTCGCGCAAACAGACAGACAGAACGACTACTGTAACCCTCGCTGCGCATGCGCGCCGATGGTTAATTAGAGTGATGATGATGTCACTCAAGAGTGGGAATAATGTTTGTGTACAGCTCAAACTCGACACTTATAGAACGTTGAACCACACCTCCCTAGCCGGCAACTGATCATCCCCCCACTTTCACATTATACTTAAAGTAAATAGCCATTAATTACCTATATCAAAATCTTAACCCATGACTTATTAGCAAACTAAGTTGAGTTTTCGAACTTACACAGCAAACACAATCATGCTATATAAGTATTGCAACTCATCACAGGGACTATATGTTTCTTAGAGCTCACTCACGCTGAATTTCGTGTCTTCTAAATCTAGTAGATTTCACGTTTTCGTGTATTCTAAGTGCCGGGGCGTTTTTTTTGCGCGCGGCATATAGTAGGTGCGCGTTAATTAGAAAACCACGCGCTGAGTTCAACATAGTATTACAGGGAAAGGAGGAGAGGCGGCGTGAGTGGTCCCGTGCACATGCGCATGCTCGTCGTTAGAGGGCGGCGGTGGTGCTGAGCCGTAGCGTCAGTTTCGATAGCTGTCACTTGCATCTAGCAGTATACGTAGTTGTGGCTGTCTTCTTGCGAGTCTTCAAACAACTCCATGATGTCTCGCAAAAAATCGCGTTTTGGTGCTAAGGGCGCGCAGAGCCTGCGCCCCGCTCAAAATAAGTTTAGGCAGGCTCGTCCAATGAAATCTACGCGATTAGAAGGGCCTCGGGCCCTTAGTAGTAGAAAACCACGCGCTGAGTCAACATAGTCAGTATTAAGGGAGGGGGAAAGGAGAGGAGAGGCGGGTAGCTTGAGTCCCGTGCACATGCGAATGCATGCTAGTCGTTAGACGGCGGTGGTCCGCGTGCAGAGCCGGCACTGCGTATAGCGTCAAGTCGTAGCGTGTCAGTGCCTTCTAGCAGTATACGTCGTTGTGTGGCATGTCTTCTTGCGAGTCTTTCACATGCACCATACGCTCAACGTGATTCGTCTTCGTGACAAAACATCGCGTGTGGTTGCTAAGGCGCGCGCAGAGCCTCGCGCCCGCTCTAAATAAGTCATGGCGAGGCGCACCATCCAAAGGGACATCTAGCGGATTTTTCAGAAGGCCTCGGACGCTACAGAGCCCAGGCCCTGCGGCCTCTCTAATCGCGTAGATTTCACGGACTCACTGTCTAACTATTATTTAGTATATTATATATTGCATGCAAAAATATAAACAATCATGTATAATTATAAACAAAGTACCACCCAGTTTTAAATAATTATTATTCAGACAGCATGTATTACTAAGTTCAAGCTCTCCGGTAGTATAATATCAGCTCATGGGCTTCACAGGGAGTATTTCTTAGGCTCTCCGGCAACAATCCCTGATTCGATCCCACAGTCATCCTGACCTCGAATCATCCAGAAAAACCCTGAAAGAAAGAGATACACAATCAAGAAAACAATCTTTAACACAGTCCTATTCAGCTAGCTGAGCGAAATACGGCAATCCAGGGCCACTTGTGACTCCAGGCTAATTCCTGCTGCCCGTGTGTTTTACGACATGTCTCACGGGCTGCTAAATGTTGATCTCCTATCGTAAGTCCTAATACATATCAGGGAAACTGGTGTACACATAAGCTATATAGTATCTTCAAGTTAGTAATTTGTGGTCCCCTGAAAATACACCCTCTCTTAGCACACCCCTGAAATGAGGACACTTTGGTTTAGGACACCCCATTAATAGTTATGGATACACTTTCATTGGATGGGTTCCATACATGTATAGCTAGCTATTATAGACCCACCATCAATTCCCCACGTGGGGTTCCATGAGTTGGCAATGATCCAGTATGGCGTCCCACTGTCCACTCCCCACCCAAGGATCTTCACAGCATGTCCGCCAAGGTAAGAACCACTGACGTGCTTGTACACTCCTGTGTTGTGGGGTGAAGTAAGGACCACATGACTTTGATCACGACGATGTAATAAAATGGGCTTTATGTAGAACAATGATGATGTAATAAAGTGGGCATTATTTAGAAAAGCTTTTTACTCTTATCCACCCACACAAACACACCAAAGGGTCTGTGCATTCATAGACCCTAGCAATCGAGTCGTCAACTCTCTTACCCTTTACGCAATGCGCAATATACGAGCACAGGAAAAGGCTACCACTGTTACTTGATGCAGGCACTCACCACTCTTGTAGTTGAGGAAGTCAGCATAGACGCTGAAAGCTGCCTCCACAGGTCCGTTTGTCATGATTTCCGTCTGTATCTTCTCGACCTTTTTAGAAACGCTGTAGGCATTGGTACCATAGTGCTTGTCTTTGTCGAAGGAGAGGGTATAGTTAGCCTACAAGGAGCGACAGCACATGTAGATTTTTTAGTGATCTGTGCTGCATCTTAGAAAGAGTTCGTATAAACGAAAAGGGAGGGATAAGACCAACAGAAATCCAAGCAGAAAAGCTATATTGTGCGTAGAACTGAAAACAGCAGAGGAAAAGAGGAGGACTTAGAAAAGTCAAGGAGGAGCAAAAATGGCTAGAATACAAACTGTGGCAAGTTAGCTGTTCAAGTAGTGCTCGAATGAACAGTAGCAAGTGAGCTGTTCTTACAAGTAGTGCTGGAATTAACTGTAGCGAGTGAGCTGTTCTTACCTGACACTCGTGTGAGCATTTTGGTGTGGGTTGCAGGCTTCCGCAGTCTGGGTGCTGGCTACTGTGCATGTGGTGCTCGCACGAGGCAATCTCGTATGGTTGGCAGCCTTGACCTGTGTGCCACTCTCCTCCGGTCACAATACCAGTAGACTTGAAGTAGTCCCTGAGTATCATGTATGTAAGAATAACAGGTGTTAGTGCAAGTGTGCTACTCTGCTTTTTACTACCAGAGCAGTATAGCAGGGCTCGCTTAAAGTCTACTATACATCTATCGTTAGGAGTATACATTATTGGAGCCCCTTACAGACTCTTGGTATCGGCATCGTTTTTGTGGAAAAAGGTGTAAACTTTACAAATTTTGCGGATTGGGGATTGCGAAAGTTATATATAGATGAAATTTTGTTTGCCATTCAGTAGTAGATATGCTACTCCTAACAACATTCACACCACCACTAGTTAGGACACAAGCCCTAGAGGAGAGTAGTACATTGATGTTTCATGCCAGTACCATATCATATGTACACAGCTACAGCCCCACAGTGTAAGGATATCTCACCAAGCAGATGCTGGGAAGCCACCATCACAACTGAGAGAGAGGGAGAGAGAGAGAAGGGGGCATTAATTGAAGTTTCTTTCCCCCCATTTAGTGCTTAGGTGGTAATTACCCTCGGCGCGCATGCACAGTGAGGGTACAGTAGTTGGGTCTGTCTGTTTGTCTGTTACTCTACATCTCACTCCTCGAACATCTGTTCGTCCCAGAAACGATACCATCTACCCAACGGGTGACGAAGGTCAGAAAATAAAGGTGGTTTTCTCTGAAAATGCTTCGTTGCAAAGCTAGAGTGCTTCCACCATTGTACGGCTAATGCGTAGTCGGCCATTTTTATCGCTGCGGAAAATGCGCATGCGCTTATAGTTTGAACAGGCGACCAGGCCGTGTATCTTGAAGGCATAAGAAGTCACAACGAAGGGCGTGTGTCGACTCCCGCAGTGCTTTTCATTTTAAAAGTGACCTCTCTATGCACAAAGATATGGATATATCAGTATTCATGAGCATATAATATATTCATCATTGTCATAATGTTGCATAACTTTAAAGAGGTCCGTCCATTACATTCTTGTGCTCAATGCGTAGGGTGGGCACTCAAACTTCTGAACAGTGACACCTTTTACAACAAAACTCAACATTGTCTGGAAAATAGCCCATTGGGCATTGGAGCGAGTGCAAACAGTTAACACCCAAGGCCTCTATACCATGTTGCAGTAGCTACAATGAAAGCCTCAAGACTGCAATGTACATTTGGTAGCAGAAAAGTGAAAACACTTTCTATGGGGGCTTTCTACTGCCATTTCCCAGAAATAAAACAAGCAGTAAGGGGGCTCCCAGCTAAGTACTGCAACTGGACAACAGCAAAACTCCCCCTTAAATTTGATTTCAGCTGTTATCTTTACTCTCCATTTCTGGTGTGCCCTAGTGCAAGAGAGTTTACCCAAGTAAAAAGTAAAAATCCAAAATCCCACAAAAATCTATACAGAGTCTCCAACTCTACGAAACTCGTGTGTAAAGTTTTGTGGAGCAAACGAACACTTTAGAAAGTGCGGCACAAACGTCGTACAGAAAGTTTACGCAAAAGAACGCTCTCGTCTTCTTGCAATGTGTAGACGAATTTGGAGGCATCGCTTGCTTACCCATCACCACAGGAGCTACAGCAGGTCATGAGATCCTCTGCTGAGATGTGAGCTGACTGGTTGAACTTGATGCAGAGCCTGTCACTCATAGACTCCACCGCCCCAAATGCCTACATACAGTAAATGAGACGGCACCCAAGTAAGCGTCCGCTTTTACTCCACGTGCATCAGTAAGACCCCACGGGCGCTCTATATAATATGCAAAATAGCATCAGAATCAGTGAGTAAGATTCCACAGGCGCTCTATGCAAATACACCAGTGAGTTACACTCCACTGGCGCCTAATGTGCAAAAAAATGGGTGTAGCTAAAGCTGCAACAAGCTACAATACAACACAGTGATCGGCGTACCCAGCAGCTCCCGCATGATCCCTGGTCGCGAACTTCCATGAGCGTCGGGCAGTACGGCCACTGCTTGCGGGCGTCGAAAGAGTCCGGAATGTCCTTCAACGGCTCGATCTCCTTCAGTGGAAGCTTGGGTCCACCCTCGCGCACTCCGCACAGACCCTTGGCGTATTCCTCGGTGGTGCCGATGAAGCGAGGGTTGATGCCGGCCCGCCAGGTCCGCTGGACGCTATTGACGTGGTCGATCAACTCGAAGTCCGGGTACAGAGCAAGCGCCAGGCCGAACGCCAAGCTCAGCAGAGCAACACGAAGCATCTTCAGAGATCGAGCTGGATGGAGAGTTTTCGGTGAAAAAGGTTACGGTGTGCTGGCTGCGCAAACTAGCGGCTTGTAAAGCTTGCTCAGCTTGCTCACTGCTAAGGTTTTGATTGCGTGTCATGTGACTCGTACTCGTGGCGTTATTTCTCACTGCGCGTGCGCATTCCCCCAGCGTATAAACGTGTACACGTGTATCCCTGAAGTCGAGCCTGAAGTCATGATTCCGAAAGAGACGCTCTCGTTACTGAGAAGACTGCAGTCGGGGATAGGGAGATGGCCGGTGAACTCATCGAGGAAGGGAAGAGATCTGGGAGAGTTTCTGAGGACGACCTACGAACAGACATTCAAGGAATTAGTCAAAACTGACGTAAGTTAACGGTTTTGTATTGAGCCATCCTTTTTGGCTGTGTGTAGGCTTTGTATAAAACACACAGCCAAGAACGGACTGTCACGCACTGTTTAGCCCAAGAGTAATAACGTAGACTTCCTTTGCTATGTTTGCATGCAACAGCTATTATGGTAAGCATGTTCATTGTGTGATTGATCTTTCATCTGCTATACTGTCTGCTTCCAGAGGGTAAATGAAAAAAATATATCATGCTTGCTTGAAAAATTGGATAATTGGTCATACTTCTACCTCATCTCACCGCCCCTCCATGTACACAACGTTCAGAACATACCTGTATAGTATTGTAATCGTAAATATTATGGAAATTGGCTACCCTTCTTCTGCTACCCCCTTCTTTTCCTACCATTGTAACTGTTAGCCAATGGCAGCAGAAGCAGCAGTGAGAAGCCTGGAGCGACTGGTGAGTGACCATCATCGAAACCTGTATTCAGAGAAAGGAACTATTCCGTGTTGAGTGAGGAACAGGTGCCCATTGAGAAGATTGCTTCCGAAATTCTTTCAACTGGTGAGTTTGTTGTAATTAGGTTTTCACGTTACGCTTTCTACTAAGCATTATCCATGCACTCCTTATGACACATTACTAGTTCACTATTATGGCTCGTTGCGAAAATAATATCTTTTTCAATGTCAACACTTTCTACTAAAGCGGTATTTCAGCATTACAGTATGCTCTTTGCAAAGGCCCACCCTATAGTTCACTATGGCTCATTGCAAAAGTAACGTTTTCACGTTATATTATGCTTTGTACTATAAAGGCATTACCATACGCTCCTTGCAAAGGCCCATCCTATGACGCTAACTGCGAAACAATTTTCAGAAGTTCAGAAGAAGCGGCCAGAGAAGACACTGTGGGAGAGAATAACAGGAAGACAGTCCAGAACTTGACTATTCCCATCACTGTACGTTACATAACATCCAGCATCACATTTTTATACACAGTATTTTGATGCAGAATAATTATCAGTGGTCTATAAAACAGCTGTATAAAGATGAATAGTGTTTCTATATAATTATCTCCTAATTCCACGTGGCACCAATGTTCTTAGCAATAAAGCCATAGACATCTGCCATTTCTTCAATCTGCACAGATACAAAAGAGTAATGTTAAACCTGGATCACTTTCTGAATGTAGTGTGAACTCACCACTTTAGCAGTTGGCTTGCCAGCTCCGTGACCTGCCTTTGTTTCAATCCTAATCGTCAGAGGATTCACCTACAGACACGAGAACACGGAATTATAGGGACGGTGGGACGCTCAGATTTGAAATTTGGCCAAACTTGAATTTGAACTATCAACATTTGAACTCTGAGGGGAGCCGGCCAGACCTGGTTTTGTTGGTCCTTCATGGTGTGCTGTAGCTGTGAGATGAACTTGAATGAGTGTAGTGGCACCACGCGGTCGTCGTGGTCGGCTGTGAGCAGCAGTACCGCTGGGTACTGGACGTCGGGAGGTGGAACTGTTATGTTGTGCAGTGGCGAATACCTAGTGTTGGGGGAAATTGTGTATGTACCTGGTATTACAAATTTTAAGGTCATTATAGTCATAATTATAACGCTCGTGGTGCGTAGAAAGGGCTAGTCTGTCTGTCGGTTATACCGCTATTCTGGCACTACAGGCTACGAGGCAGCTAACGAGCAATGCAAAAACCTCATCGCTAAAATTTTTAGCTAGACAGTAGAATATTTTTATACTTGATTATGTAGTTGAAGTCTTCTTCTTTGTCGGGACTGCCGTAGTCTGTCATCCTGTGCAGGGGGAGGTACAATATCAGTTATAGCATGGTATAATATACTGGATATAAACCTTCAATACCGTCACTTACCAGGCATGGCCAATGGTAAACTTGTGGAATCTCAGCATATCCAACACCCTGGGTTTTGGGGGAGGTATAAAACCACATAGATGAGTAGTATGTAGAGCTGTGTGTTGAAAGTGTTGCTTTAAAACTAGCACACTTTCCCAGCGGGCAAGATTTACGTAGCACCGCACTTAATGGCTAACGGCTATAAAAAATAATAATGGGTTTTGAAGCATTTTATTGAGTGGCTATATAGAGTGCTCTAATGCTTTTCTACTTAGTCCACTTCATACCTACACTTTTCTCGTGTGTATTTTTGGTGAGCGGGAGCGAGCCAACCTAGTCGTACGTTCGAGCGGATTTTTCTATATATATTTATCGTTGGTACGTCGTGTAAGTGCGCATGCGCGGCTTCTTACGGGCGATATGGGCCCATCGATCTAGCCAGCCAAAGAATTCTCCTCCATTCGACAGCATGCACTGCTACCTTCGGTGACTGACCGAGGCTGTACCTCTTCCCAATCTTCATGGTTGGAAGGTGCAACTTCAAAGTAAGCTAGGATTGCTCGTGCAGATACTGCTGCATGCCAGCTGCCTGGTGGACCACGACTTGAAAGCATAAGGTAAGTACCGTTCTGCTCACCTGCTCACCGTTCTGCCAATATACTAGACAGATCTACCTGTCACCGTTACATGCGTATCGAGCTGAAAGGTGACAGGTAGATCTGTCTTGCTCCACGAAAGGAAAGCTCTGCACTGACGCACGTTATGCAGCCCGAACATTGTGGCCAAATCCCGAGTTGGGTCGCTCCCGCCCTGCCAACAATGTTGAACATTTCCACTAGTACATTGTATGAAGAAATGAATAGCACTGAAGTGCAAACTCTCGGCAAACTGCGCACACGCGGTACCATTAATTGGGCTGGGCTTTTATTATGCGTTCACTCGTGGTATCCACGCTAGTAGCTCGCGGAGAGTCTGACACGGACTAGCTACAGTAGTTGATAGCATGCGGGAGTCGATACACGCCCTTCGTTGTGACTTCTTATGCCTTCAAAATACACAGAGCAAGCGGCCCGGTCCTGTTCAAACTATAAACGCATGCACATTTTCAGCAGCGATAAAAATGGCCGACTACGCATTAGCCGTATAATGGTGGAAGCGCTCTAGCTTTGCAACGGAGCGTTTTCAGAGAAAATTGTTCGAAAGTTCTGACCTTCACTGCCCGTTCAGTGGGTGGTATCCTTTGTGAGACGAACGAACACTCGAGAATGAGATGAAGAGTAACAGACAGACAGACAGACAGACACACAGACCCAACTACAGTAACCCTCGCTGCGCATGCGCGCCAAGGGTTAATGAGAGCATACACTGTAGCCTACCCGACTTGAGAGATGACACATTTGAAGAGATCTGGTCTTTGGTTGGCTGCAGCACACACCAGTAAACCTCCATTGGACCCTCCCTGTATGGCCAGTCTAAGGGACATTCATTACGTTCATTAATAGCAAGACTTCTACTAGCCCCACCCCGTATGGTCAACCGTTAATGGTCAACAATACTTATAGGAAACCCCTATGGACCCTCCATGCATGGTAAAGGGACATCATTAGGTTCACCTAAGAGTCACTCAGTGGGCCCTCCCTCTATGGTTATCAATACAAATTTTAAATGAAAAGCACTGAAGTGCAAACCCTGTGCACGCGCGGTACCACTAATTGATGGGCTGGGCTTTTAGTATGTGTTTACTCGTGGTATCCACACTAGTAGCTCGCGGAGAGTCTGACACGGACTAGCTACAGTAGCAGATAGCATGCGGGAGTCGATACACGCCCTTCGTTGTGACTTCTTATGCCTTCAAGATACATAGAGCAAGCGGCCCGGCCGGTCGAGGAGCCTGTTCAAACTATAAGCGCATGCGCATTTTCCGTAGCGATAAAAATGGCCGACTACGCATTAGCCGTACAATGATGGAAGCGCTCTAGCTTTGCAACTGAGCGTTTTCAGAGAAAACTGTTCGAAATTTCTGACCTTCATTGCCCGTTCAGTAGGTGGTATCCTTTGTGAGACGAACGAACACTCGAGAAGTGAGATGAAAGAGTAACAGACAGACACACAGACCCAACTACAGTAACCCTCGCTGCGCATGCGCGCCGAGGGTTAAAAAGGGACACCCCATGAGAAGAAAACAGTGAAAGTTTTCTCTACCACCCCACATAGTAAAACCCCCAACTACACCTGTATTAACCACTGAGAGTGTGGTCTCATAAAACTGGACTGACCGGCTGGGGTTGGTGTACTTGTTCTGGACGAGGTAGTCTGCCGCCGAGACAAAGTCGTCAAACACGTTTTGCTTGTTTCCCAGCATCCCACCCTTATGCCAGCTATCACCATACTCCCTGCAAATAATATTATTATGATAATGAAGCAGTATGCTACACCCATTTATTCCGGGATTTTCTCGGGGAGATTTTACCCTCCCGAAAAATGGTAGAGAAGTGTTGTCCGGGTTAATTTCTGCCCTCGTGATTTCAGAACTGATTCTTCCCTCCCTGTGGAATTTCACACTGATATTCTTACCCTCCTCCTCTGAGGTTGGCCAGGGCATACACTCCTCCAAGGTGCTGCATGAAGATGATGCGTGTGGTGCTGAAGGAGGGAGAGAGCGAGATGTTGAAACCTCCATATCCGTAGAGTAGAGTCGGAACATCCCCGTCCAGCTTCAGACCCTGAATACGTTTGTGGCACTATCAATTCACTATCAGAGAGTCGGTAG